GACAGCAACTTCTCTGTTCCCATTCCCCCGATTCCCCAGTGCTGTTCCCATCCCCAATTCCCCAATAAAAATCTTTAAAAAAAAACAAAACAAAAAGCCAATCCCAGGGATATTATTCAGCTTTAAAAAGGAACGAAATTCTGACACCTGCTACAACATGGATGAACCTTGAGGACAATGTGCTGAGTGAAATAAGCCAGACACAAAAGGACAAATCCTGTATGATTCTCCTTATATGAGGTCCTTTGAGGAGTTAAATTCAGAGACAGAAAATGATGAGCCCCAGGAGCTGGAAATGGGGAGCTATTGTTTAGTAGGTATGGAGCTCAGTTTGGGAAGATGAAACAGTTCTGGAGATGGATGGTGGGGATGGTTGCACTGCAGTATGAATGATCCTAGTATCCCTGAGATATATTATTACAAGGGTAAACTTGATGTATTATTTTCCACTAAAAAACCCCTCAAACCATCAATCACATCATGCCACTTCCCTGTTGATTGCAATGAAGTGCCATCCTTCCCAGGATGGTTGTCCCACTTTACCTCCGCTGTGTGACCTTGAGCAAGAGCAGTCGGCTGCCTCCGGCCACTGCCTCCGAGCCCTCTGCCTAGTGCTCCTCCCAAATCTTAGCAAGGCCAGGTCCTTCTCATCTTCCAGCTCAAGGTCACCGCCTTATCCCTTCAGGGTCTACGTCAGCCTGGGGCAGCCTCGTTTATTTTGTGTTTTGGCCGGGCCTATTCCATCGCAGGACGCAGGCCTGCGGCAGGACCCCGACACGGAGTCAATCAGTGGCCTGTGCTGATGACCATGTGCAGAGGTCAGTTTCGAGCCTACATGGCCAGAACACCGCAAGGAGCAGCCACTAGGGCCCAGGCGGCTCGGTTCTGCGGCGTTAGCGCGACAAGCGGCTCGCCCACCTCAACGGGTCCCACTGGGCACGATCACCAACCCAGACAGGAACCACCAGCGAGCCGGAAGCTCAGCGGCGGAACCCGCGCAGCCTCCGAGGGGCCCACGTGCAACTGCACAGGCGTCGGCGCGCCCGCGCTTCCGGCACCGATGCACTGTGGGATGAGTAGTTCGTCGGGTGCGTCGACAACTTCCGCAAAGTGATGCGTCCCGGACGTGTCGGCCGAGCTGCATGTTGGGAGTTGTAGGATCCGAGCGGTACGCAGGGAGCCCTAGAGGAAGAAACACTCTACTTCGGGCCTGCGCCCGGCTTCATCCCGCCGCCCCAGGGATTTGGGGGGACATTCGCCCCACACTATACAGGAAGGCCCCGGCACTCACTTCGCCTTTGCTTTGGCGGCTGCGTTACCGGACGAGAACAGACTCTCCTGCGTCGTCATTGACCGAGCGCCTCGTGACGTCACTAGGAGGCGCCCTTCACAGGGCACGGCGCACAGGTCCCGGAGGCTTCTGGGTAGCGGATTATCCCCGCCCCCCGCGCCAGCCCCTTCCTTTCCCTTCCGGACGCTGTCGAGGTCGCACGCGCGAGGGTTCTTCGCTGCCGCTGAGTGCGTGGGGCGGCGGGGCTAGGCCGCGGGCCGGGCGCGGGCCCTCGGGGGCAGGCGGAGCTCGGGGCAGGGCACGGGGCGGGCCTCGGTGGGGACCCCTGAGGCGGGCCACGCGCGGCCACGCTCGGGCCGGGGTGGGAGTAAGAGGCCTCCGGGTAACGCCACGGTCTTTTTTTCCGGTCTCAGGATGCGCTACGTTGCCTCTTATCTGCTGGCCGCCCTCGGGGGCAATACCTCCCCCAGCGCCAAGGACATCAAGAAAATCCTGGACAGCGTGGGCATCGAGGCGGACGACGACCGGCTCAACAAGGTAGGCGCCCCGCTGGGCCCAGCCGACGGATACTGTGCGCACAGGGGCCTCTCCCTACCCAGCCCGAGTTTTACCTTTGTGGGGGAGGGTTGAGGGAGGCCTGTGGCAGCCCCCATGGTGATTTATTGGGCTGCCCTTTGGGGTCCCTGGTAGAGCTCCAAGGAAGTAAAAGCCGGGTGTGAGGCACAGCGGTTCCATAGAAACACGACGTAAGTTTCACGTAATTTAAAATTACTTAGTGAATGTTTTTGTTCTAAGGGGATGTATCTTAAAACCATTCTCTTTAACCCAGCTCACTCAAAACGTTGTGTTGACACGTAGTGGGCGTAAGGTTGGGTGTTGTGCATCTTTTTTTCAGCGGTGAGTTTCAAAACGTGGTGCGGGTTCCCGTTTGTAGCGCCTCTCAATCGGGAAGAGCCACGCGAGGGTAATCACTCGTGTGCTGGGCTGCAGGGGGCCTGGACGCTGCGCGGCATTTTCTCAGGCCGCGTTCTCAGCACCGCAGGAGGTGAAGCTCAGGCAGGGTCTGGTAACTGCTGGTTGTGGTTTTCTGTTCTAGGTCATTAGTGAGCTGAATGGAAAAAACATTGAAGATGTCATCGCGCAGGGTGAGGTTGTGCGGGCGCTTTCCTTTGTGTGGTCCATCCTAATTCCTGCCGGCCAGCCTGTGGCCTGCCAGGTTTCGCTTGTGGACCAGAGCACCCTAGAAGCCTCACCCGAGGAATGAGCACAGCTTCATTGGGCTCATGCCACGGGCACTTCTAGACACTCGGGGAGGCAGGGCGCTAGGGGGCACCCTTGCTCTTCCTGGGCCTGGCTGCCCTGCCTGCAGCATTTGGGGAATTGGGGCATTTGTAAACAAGTGTCGCCATGTGCTCTCTCTGAGGGGTTGGGCGCAGAGACTGGGGTGTCAGGGATGACCACGGGCCCCTGTCCCCCTCTGCTGGGCAGATTGTTTCCTGGTGACATCAGGCCGGAGTTTATGGGAGTTTGGAAGTTGTTGTTGGAGCAGACTTTTCTGTCCTTGGGCAAGTGACAGGCTAGTGACAAAGCCAGCTCAGCAGACAGCCTGAGCTCACTGCTGTGGACGAGCATCTGGACACTGGGACGGGTGACTTGGTCCCCGCCTGCTTATAAACATGTCTCTGCAATCTGATTCCAGGGTGGGCTGCTGTGCTTCTTGTGGACTGACTCCTAGGAGCCAATTTCCCAGATGGGAAGCTTGGGGGAGGGAGTGGGAACACGGGAGCCTGTGACACTGGCACTTGGTGACAGGCCCAGTACATCAGGCAGGCTGCGCAGCTGCTCGCGTCTCATCTTCCTTCTCTGGTTTCGATAGGGATTGGCAAGCTGGCCAGTGTCCCCTCCGGTGGGGCTGTAGCCGTCTCCGCTGCCCCAGGAGCTGCAGCTCCTGCTGCTGGTTCTGCCCCGGCTGCCGGTAAGTGCAGGTCTGGCAGCTCTCGCTGCACATGCCCTGGGGCCCCTGGGAGCTCGGCTGCTTGGGGCCTCGCTCACCATAGCCTTTGTCCTTCCAGCCGAGGAGAAGAAAGACGAAAAGAAGGAGGAGTCGGAGGAGTCGGATGACGACATGGGATTTGGCTTGTTTGATTAGAATTCTGTGCCCTGCAAATTAAACTCTTTTTGTGTATCTCTTGAGTGGCCTGTGAGCCTTTTGTCCGAGCCTGGCCTCTGTGCAGGGCACGTGTGGGCTGCCCAGGGAGGAGGAACTGCTGCCTGGACAGCTGGGGTCGTGGTTGACAGCGCAGGGGTCTGGTGCAAAGGGAGCACCTGGCAGGGTGCGCTTCCTGTGGGTCTTGAGCAGGCTCAGGAACGGTCATGAGCTCCTTGGGCATGGTTCTGGCTTTGGAGGGCTTTCCCACGGAGGGAATCCTTCAGGGGACACCCAGGAAAGCTTTAGAAGCAGCGGTGGGTGGTCTCCACTGCTTTGGGAGGTGGCTCTGGAGGGCCAAGGCCAGCAGTTTCCCCTGCCACCAAGACTGATAGCATTCTTCAGTTACACAAGAGGTGCGGTGGTGTGTGCGTGGTCCCTGGGTTTCCCTGCAGGGGTCGGGCCCAGTTCTTGTTGAAGCCAGTGCCTCGGCTCTGCCTTAACCCTGAGCAACTTGGGCATTCATCTCTGAGCCTGTTTCACCTGCTGTCTGATAGGCTTATCACCTGCTTTGCTGGGCAGATGTGGAAGTGGTCTGTGGGAAGACATTGGGGCCGTGTGGATACTTAAGTCCTTTTGGGGTGGCCTGCCCACACCCCTCCCACGAGGCTCTGGCCTGGGATGTGGCGTAGAGGGCAGAGGCCCACCCAGGCACCATCCTGGCCCTGCAGCTATTGGTAGTCTCCTGGGCTTTCGTCAATTCACCCACCAGTGCCAGGCAGCAGAGTAAACACTGCTTCCCCCACCAAAGGTTCGGGGTCAGCAACCAGCTGGGATGTGCTGTGCGTGTCCTGTGGGCTGGAGTTCTGTGGACAAAGTAAAGAAGTACAGCACCAGGGTGCTGGGAGAGGCCTCCCTTGGAGCGGAGACTTGGAGGGCAGGAGTGAGCATGGTGACCCAGATGAGCAGGGACTAGGGTGGGACCTAGGCCTGGGGGAGGAAATAGAAGCCACTGTTTCTGGGTCAGTGAGAGCAACTGCCGCTTGTCTGAGCAGCCTGTGGGGTGAGGGGCCCTCCAGACCAGTGGACTCCATGCGACCATCAGACCTTGAAGAGAAGGGCCCTGTGTGGGCCAGAGGACACCATGGGAGCGGGGTTGTCACACCGCCTGGCATGATCGCACCAGACACCAGAGGTTCTTCCACGCCCCGCCAGGATTCCAGGAAGGAAGGGCCGCCCTGTTCCTGGCTCCAGAGCGGAAAGGTCCCAGAGGCCTGGAGGGAGGGACGTGTACCCAAAACTGTTCAACCCTGGTGTGGAAATGGGGGCAGAAGTCTTTCTGCACTGGGGCAGTGCCATTCGGCACACCCCCACGGTCCCTTGGAAGCAGGGAGGGCCTGGTCCCCAGCCTCTCCTTGGAGCAGGTCAGGGGAGGACGGAGGACCTCAGGTCCCTAGCTCAGCCTGCACTGCTCGGCTCCCATCTGGTGGTCACCCTGGTGAACACCTGGACTTGCAGGCCGGCCTTGAGGCTCTGTCCCATCCCTGCTGTGACACCCGTCACCCCCTGCAGCCTCCAACAGTATCCCCAAGGACTCAGTCACCAGGGGCCCTGATCATACTGACGGGGCCACCCCTCTGCACTGTATCTGCTCCCAACCATGTGCAGGGGGGACAAGCCCAAGTCCTTCAGTCAGCTCCCCCTGCTTCTCCTTTCCCAGCGCCCAGGCCTGGCTCTCTCCAGTCCCCACCCAGGACCTTTGCCTCTGCTGTGGGGGGACCCTGTGCCCTTTCTAACTGCACCCACATACTCTGTTCCCCACTTTGTCCTCATTTTGAGCTTATGTAAACACCTGCCACCCCCACCCCACTTCCAGGAGGGCTGGGTCTGGGTTGCCAGCTTACTGTTCTGCCCTGTGCCGGTCCCCATTACAAGCACATCATCCATACTAAGTGTGGGTGCCTGCGTGCTCAGACGCAGACGAGTGGACAGCATGACCCCGTATGGCCATGGCGGGGGAGCCTCTGCTCTGTCTCCTGGCCTGGGCCGGGGCTGCAGCACTGGCACCAGCTGGGTCCTGAGCTGGCTCCTTCCTGGGAAGACAGACACACTGCTTCCCCAGCACCCCAGCATAGACTAGCCCCGTGTCTGGGAGGTGGGGTGAGGTGCAGGGCTGGCGCCTGGCTCCCAGCCAGGCCATCTCTGCCCCACACAGTCCAGGAGAAAAATGCGGAAGGGGACGGAGCGTGACAAAACACTGACGACTACACCTGCTGGGGCAATTAGTGGGGGCGGGGCAGGGCCCGAGTCATACCCAAGGCGGCCCCACAGCCTGGGGAACCTGGGTCAGGCGCAGGTAGAACCCAGGTTGGTACCCAGGTGCGGAGGGGGGGGGGCAGGGCTGGAGCTCGGACGCCAGGCGTGGTCCGCAGAGCTGGTGTTAGCTCTGGAAGTTGTTTGTGAATGTTTGTGGGTCAGTCTGTGGATGAGTCGTGGGTCCTGGGGGTTCCTGGCCTGGGGAGTGGGTGTTGTAGGCAGGCCCCGAGGGAGGGAGCGGTGGCTGCCCAGACACGAAGGCCCTCCCCTCGCGGGTGTCCAGATTTGTACGAGGCTCCCAGGCCCACAGACTCTGGGTGGCCCGGGTCTGAGCTCACCCCTCTCCACACGCCTCCCGCTACCCACGTTAGGTGGGAAGGGAAAGCGGCAGGAGGCCGGGGGCATGAACTCTCTAGGTGTCGCGGCTAAGGGCGCAGCTGCCGAGACAGCGGCAGGAGGGGGCGCAGGGCCTCCGGGCTGGGGCGGGGCTCCAGGGCCTCCCGAGGGCGCGGCCGTTCCCCGCGCGCAGGGACTGGGCCGCGTGTGCCGGCCCCGCCCCGCTCCAGCCCCGCCCCCCCTTCCTAAAAACACCATCTCCGGCGTCGCTTTGCACAGCGTCGCCGCCTCCACAGGCGGAGACCCCGAGCTAGAGTGGCCGCGGACTGGCCGGCGGGCCGCCGCGATGTTTCCCAAGGAGGCGACGTTTCCCAAGGAGACGACGTGGAACATTTCGTTCGCGGGCTGCGGCTTTCTGGGTGTCTACCATATCGGAGTGGCCTCCTGCCTCCGTGAGCACGCGCCCTTCCTGGTGGCCAATGCCACGCACATCTACGGCGCCTCGGCCGGGGCGCTCACCGCCACGGCGCTGGTCACCGGGGCCTGCCTGGGTGAGCGGGGCTGGCGGGTGGGGCCGGGCGGATATTCTTCGTGAGAATACAGCGCCCCTCTGTCCCCCGCACAGGGAAGCCGGCGGGGCCGCTGGTCCAATCCCCGGCGCCGGCTGGGGCGGGGCCTGGTTTGTTTTGCTCCGGGGGTACCGGGGCCCAGCGCGCTTCTGGGGCCAAGGCTGCCACTTAGGGCCCACCTCTCGGGAGCCCAGGTTGGCGGGCAAGTGCAGCAGAAGCGATATCATTGGAAAGAGAAGGTAACTCATGGGCGGGACCGTGAGACTCGGGGGAGGGGCCTAAGCTGCCCTCTCCTCCGAGGCGTTAGACTAGGGTCACTGTGTCCGGAGGCCATTCCACTCCAGGCTGCCATGGCCCCGGCGCCTAGTATGGGGGTGGCCTCGGAAGACCAAGTCTGGACACTGTGTCCCCGAGGGCCCCTGGAGCAGGAGCCCAGCAGGTCAGGCCTGGGCATGGCAAGCTCCCCCACTCCCCCCGGCACACGGCCGCTGTGGGCCTGGCTCCCCAGCTGTAGCCCACCGTTTCTGCCCTTTCCGTGGGGTGGCAGATGTTTCTGGACTCTCCAGCCCTGTGGCCCGGAGTGCAGGTGTCTGAGTGTGCTGGGGCACACTCCTCCCCTCACACACACACTTCCGTGGGGCACATGCACGTGGTGTTTACAGCATACCAAGTGCTTCAAGAGTCCTGGGACAGCTGCCCAGCCCTCTGCCTACTAGAGCAGCCAAGGTGACGGAGGGGTCATCGGTGACCCACCCAGCAGGAGCCTGTGCAGGGTTCTCCCCTGCCTCCTTCCCATAACCTTCGCCCTGAGGGGGTGGGGTACAAGGAGCACAGCTGTACATCTTGGGACCTGGGGGGTCCACCACTGTGGCCCTGACCCTTCCCTCTCACGAGGCCTTCAGACTCAGAGCAGTGCTGTCAGTCCCCATGGTGGCGTCAGGGCACACCTTAGTCCTTGGTACTCAGTTGAGGACATGGCTCTCACAGCACCTCCCCGACCCCACTCCCAAAAAGACTCTTTCTCACTTGTGGTCTTGGGCAGCTGGAGCCCCCCCAGTGTGGCAGGTTCCGGCCCCCACTGCCCACTCCTGACCCAGGCGGTGGTCCTGGAGGAGGGCATGGTCCTTAGCTCCTCACCAAGGCCCTCCTGCCCCCTGACCACTCCTGGCTTTGTCCTAGGTTAGCACCCATGGCCCCCAAGAGGAGTGTTGGGGGGATGCTTCTCTTGCCTGTGGTGGGACACAGTCGTGGTTTCCAGAAGTGGCAGAGCCCCACTGTTTCCAACCTTATGCCGCTAGGCCTGTGGGCTTTGTGGGTCTGGATTTGGCCAAGTGGGTGAAGGCTGAGGCTGGTCAGAGGTGAACCTCTGCCCCCCCTCTTCCTGGGCTGGGTGCCACATAACACCAGGCCTGGTGACTCATGGATCAGGGCCGATGGTTGGGAAACTCCGAGCAGAGGCCAGGCTGGGCCCCAGCTGGCCAGCCCCAGCTGTTGCCCTTTCAGGGGTGGTGGTGGCCTGCCTCTCTCTCCCCAGGGGCAGGTGGCAAAAGTCCCAATTGTGGGCCAGGCCCCCTGGTGGATACTGGGATTCCTTCAAAGTGGATGGGATGGCTCGAGTTGTGGGACTTTGGGCGTGGAGCCATGGTAAGCCCAGGAATGCCGACCCTTGGCCCTGCCACCCCAGGTGAGGCCGGTGCCAACATCATCGAGGTGTCTAAGGAGGCCCGGAAGCGGTTTCTAGGCCCGCTGCACCCTTCCTTCAACCTGGTGAAGACCATCCGTGGCTGCCTGCTTAGGACCCTGCCGGCTGACAGCCACGAGCGTGCCAACGGGCGCCTGGGCATCTCCCTGACCCGCGTCTCAGATGGCGAGAACGTCATCATATCCCACTTCAACTCCAAGGATGAACTCATCCAGGTGGGCCCTGGCGGGGTCGCATGGGGGGCGCGGTGGAACACCGAGGCCCTGCTGACCGCCCCCCTCTGTCCCTGCCTCACAGGCCAATGTCTGCAGCACCTTCATTCCTGTGTACTGCGGTATCATCCCCCCCACCCTCCAGGGCGTAGTAAGTACCCCCGGCACCTGTCCTGGGCGACAAGAGTCCGCAACTGTGGGCTGTGGGACAAGGGGTAGAGGAGGAAGCCATCTGTGTCCCCCCCAGCCCCTCACTACCTGTTGCCTCACTTCCCCAGTTACTCAACAGCCAGGCCAGGCCCCACAGGCATGCACACTTCCTGTGGCTGCCCCGCCCCCCTTCACTGTCTGGCCACTTCTCAGTGCCCAGGCAGGCCTGTGGCCAGTGCCAAGTGGGTGAAAGGCCCAAATGAAACAGCCACCAGGTGGGGCCCAGGTGGCCCCGTGGGGCAGCCAGCTCACGTTGCAGGCTTCTTGCCCTGTGACCACATGTCCCTGCCGCCGCAGCGCTATGTGGATGGTGGCATCTCAGACAACCTGCCGCTCTATGAGCTCAAGAACACCATTACAGTGTCCCCCTTCTCGGGCGAGAGTGACATCTGCCCGCAGGACAGCTCCACCAACATCCATGAGCTCCGCGTCACCAACACCAGCATCCAGTTCAACTTGCGGAACCTCTACCGCCTCTCCAAGGCCCTGTTCCCGCCAGAGCCCATGGTGAGCCGCCCTGGCGTGTGGGCCGCCTAGCCTCTCCCCGCTCAGTATTGGAGGAAGAGCTGCCCTATGACCTTCTGAGTGACCAGGGTGGGGGGTCTGGACAGCCTCTTCTGAGGGCTGGAGAAGAGTGCTGTGGCCTGCACCACCTCTCCACTGGGGGGCAGCCTCTCCAGCCGGGATCTAGTCCTTAGTAGTGGGGAGGGGCGGGGTTTGCAGGGACTCTGGGGGCAGAACAGCGTCTCTGCCCCCGCTGCTCCAATCTATCCATCCCCTTGCCTCAGGTGCTGCGGGAGATGTGCAAGCAGGGCTACCGGGATGGCCTGCGCTTCCTGCGGAGAAACGGTGCGCAGCGGCCAGGGCGGGGGTGGGGGGGTGAGGAGGTGGGGTGGTCTCTGCGCCGCAGTCCCCCGGCTGACCACCTGTTTGATCCTCCCCACCCAGGCCTCCTGAACAGGTCCAATCCGCTGTTGGCACTGCCCTCTGCCAGCCCTCGTGTCCCCGAGAACAGAGACGAGGAGGAGGCCTTGGTGGCCGCGGAGAGGACCAGAGTGGAAGGGCACCTGCCCCCGACCGGGCAGGACCACATCCTGGAGCATCTGCCTGCGCGGCTCAATGAGGGTGCGTGGCCAGGGCGGGGGGCGTGGCCAGGGCGGGGGCGGGGGCAGAGCAGATTAGGGCTGGGCTCCACCTCCCCCCACCACGGCCAACTTCGCTCCTGCTCCCACCCCACCCGCAGCCCTGCTGGAGGCCTGCATAGAGCCCAGGGACCTGCTGACCACTGTCTCCAACATGCTGCCCGTGCGTCTGGCCACCGCTATGATGGTGCCCTACACTCTGCCACTGGAGAGTGCCGTGTCCTTCACCATCCGGTACGGGATGGCAGGGCGGGAGAGGAGTTCAGAACCGAACTTCGGGATCAGCCATGAGCGGTGGTCACCCCGGGGAAGAGGCAGCTGGTTGGGGGTGCTGAGAGAAGCCAGGGCACAGGCAGGGCCCAGGGTGGAGGGGCGTGGGCATGCGGGCCGGGCCACTGACCCTGAGGACATGCCTCCCACCCGTGCCCCAGCCTGCTGGAGTGGCTGCCCGACGTCCCGGAGGACATCCGGTGGATGAAGGAGCAGACCGGCAGCATCTGCCAGTACCTGGTGATGCGTGCCAAGCGGAAGCTGGGCAGCCACCTGCCCTCGAGGTGAGCCCCCGACTGCCGTGTTCACCCGGGCCACACACCGCCTCACTTTCGCGGCCCCCAGTAAAGCCCGCCCTCCGCCCCCACCTGCAGGCTGTCGGAGCACATGGAGCTGCGCCGCGCTCAGTCGCTGCCCTCCGTGCCGCTGTCCTGCGCAGCCTACAGCGAGGTGTTGCCTCGCTGGATGCGCAACAACCTCTCACTGGGAGACGCGCTGGCCAAGTGGGAGGAGTGCCAGCGCCAGCTGCTGCTGGGCCTTTTCTGCACCAACGTGGCCTTCCCGCCCGAAGCCCTGCGCATGCGCGCCCCCGCCCACCCCGCCCCGGCGCCCCCGCAGCACCCGCCAGGCTTGCCCCCTTGCTGAGCGCCCCTGCACACGCCTTCGCTGTCCCCTGGGGTCCCATTGCTGAGGGCCAGGTCCCCAGCTTCCCTGGCCCATGAGGCGGGGCCCTGGGGCCAACTGAGCTCCCCCGCCTCGGCGTCTCCATGCCCCCGTGGATTGAGGAGATGGGGCCCTCACCGCTGAGAGAAGGGGCTTTGCTGGCGACACCTCCCCCAACCGCTCACCTGCCGCACTGCGTAGGCAGGCGGCTCACCTGTGCCTTCATCTCCCTCTTCCAGTCCCGCCCTAGGGCTGGGCAGGGCTGGGTAAGGGGCCTAGGGTAGGGGCTGGCAGCCCGCTACCGCGCAGTATTACTCCTGAGAACTCTGACCCTGCTCACCCCGCGCACTTTTCATTTTTTTGTTCAAGAAATGTGTGTGAAAAGTTATTTATTTTCGCCGAAGCTGATGTAATAAATACCGCAGCTCAGCCCCTGCGTCCTCCTTGTATGTGACCCCCCCCCCAGCTGACCAGTGTCTGTACAGCTTTAGGTCAGGGGTCCCCTCTCCTTAAGCCTGGCATTCAGGCCTGGGGCCCGCCCCTAGAGGCGACTGTGGGCCTCCGGGGCTGCAGCCCACTCTTCGGCTCTTTGGCCCCCACTTTGCCCTGAGGCCTGCTGGCTACCGTTGGAAACAGCTTTCCAAGGGTCAATGGAAATATTTTGGACCAAGATCCTTGCTGAATAAAAAAACGAAGAAATGTTTACAAAAGGTGGCGTCCGCACCTCCGCTCCATGGTGACACGGGGCCGTGGGGCTGATTTCAGGGCTGTGGAGGGTGAGGTTCCCTAGGGAGCGCGTGGGGGGGGGCGGCTCCACTTTGGGCATTTGGCCCAAGGCTCTGCCTAAGGCACTGGGTCTCCCCTTGTCATCGCAAGCCTCATTGGCCAGGGGCACATGTGTCCTTGTTCCCGTCGCCTCCTTGCCCACGGGGTACCCCAGTCTCCTGCCAATACATATGGGCCTGGAATACCAGGCAGGGTGAGGTCTGAGCGGAAGGGAGTGGGACCTTGTTCTGGGGCAGACATGGTTTCCTGAAAGTGGCTTCTGCCCTGGGCGACAGCCAGTCAGAGGGGATTTGGCCATCCCTCCCTGGTGACCAAAAGGGCTCAGGGAGTGAGGGGTGCCGGAGCAGAATCGGGCGCTTGGCTAGCTGTCCAGAGCTCTTAGTCCTGCCCCAGCTGCCTCCTCTCCACTCGGCGTGGGGCAGCTGTGCCGACGGTGGCAGCCCCCAGCCAACAATAACGGTTGGTGGTGGGACTGCAGGACTGGGAGAGCCGGCTGGGCAGGTCGCCGTGTGCATGTGTGCCAGGGGCCACCCCCCTCGCGGTCTCAAGGTCCTGTCCTATCGGCCCAACCTGTTCTAGTTGAGCAGGATCCCGGGCCCCTGGAGAAGCAGAGCCTTCAGCCCCTAGCACTGCCAGGCCTGCGCAGGAGAGCCAGGTGGGTGCAGGGGCCAGGCTGGGGGAAAGGCTGGGATGTTGTCCCTGAGCAGGAAGGTCCCTGACAGGCGCTACACAGCTCCTCTCAGGCCTCCCCCAAGGCGAACGCAAGTGACTGCTGTGCCCCCGCAGGAGTGCTTGGGGGGCCCGCTGAGGTGAGGCCCTCCCGCCCCACCGCCAGGCATTCGCCCTCGCACAGGCACGGGCATTTATGCTGTTGACTTAAACACCATTTTCCAATACATCACCTGTGTATTGTTTAAAAGCGGGAACAGCCAAATTAGGCAAGTATAGGGAAGAAAGGAAAGTCGCCCCACTCCTAGAGATAACCATTGAAAATAGTTCGGTTAATTTCCTGCCTGGCTTTTCCTTACACCCACTTTTGGCGCCTTAAATCGGGATCCTCGGGACAGCGCCCCTTCCTCGCTCTGGTCCTGCTCAGGAAGGGTCACCAAGTGCCCGGGTCACCTCCGCCCCACGGTGCCCTAGGGCTCTTCCCGGACACAGACGTTCCGGCTGCGGGGTCGCGGACGGGCGGGGTGTGGGCCGAGAGCCGGGCCGCCCGGGCCGCGCCGAGAGGCGGAGACACGGCGACAGCAGCGGCGGGGCTCCGCCCGGGGCCGGCCCACGCTGGGGTCTCAGTGCCCGCCGGGAGGTAGGAGACGCCCCAGGCTCGCGCCCCCCGCCGTCGCCGCCTTTCCGGGAGGCGCAGCCCGGGCGCGCGGCCGGTGCGGTGGCGCGGCTCGCAGGTAGGCTCCGTGCGGGTCCCGCTGCCCGCCAGTCCCTTCCAGGTACCGCCGGGCGCGCCGACCCTCGCGCGTCGCGGTCAGGGACTTCGGGGCCCCTTGGGGCGGGGCGCGCCGCGGCGAGGCAGAGCGGGGCTAGGTCCCCAAGGTGCGGGAGCGCAGGCGGCTCGCGGGTCCTGCGGCTCTTCCTCCCTGATCCCGGGCTTCGGCCGCGGCGCCGCTTCCGGCTGGATTGAATTCTGGTCCCGCGAGCCGCTGATGGGGTGGTGCACGCTCTGGCGAGGCGACGGCGACGGGGGGAGATGTCTCTGGTCCCGTGTTCCCTCCTGTCGCCTTTCCTCAGACCTGCCCTCTTTGGAGAGCGCGCCCCTTCCCGGGCCCCCAGAAATATGAGTAGGTTGAGAATCACGGCCCCGAACTGAGAGGAGAGGACCTCAGACCCAGGTGTGGGAGAGTCGGCTTTGGGAAATCCGGGACCAGGTCGCTGTGGGAAGGACAGGTGCCTCTGATCAGGGGCGAGGCGCCCCTGCGGGGAGGAGGGCCCCACGGAGGTTCCGGGACCTGGAGGGGGCGAGTCTGGAGGAGGGAAGGGCCTAGTGCTGGGGGAGGGTCTGTCAAACCTAGACTCTGGGGTGTTTCTGACAAGGGCCACAGGAGGCATCCCGGGCTGGGATCCTGCACCTGCACCCCAGGGGGCCCGGCGCCCGGTGGGCGGGGCTGGGCGGGGAGGGAGGCGCCTACCTCGCCTACCAGCTGGCTGGAGGGGAGGGCCGCTGAGGCCCAGACTCAGGGCCTGAAGGTTAGGCACGACTGGCTGGCTGAGTGCTCCCACCGGCCCAGCCCGGTCAGCCCCATCTCGGTGTCCCCAACTCCAGGGCCTATTCGGCCCCTCCCCCACTGACCACTCGCTCGCCCCAGCTCTCTGCCCTTAGCTGCCAGGAGCCCCCTCCTCACTGTCCATCGCGAGGTCTTCTAGATGCCCCTCAGCAAGACTGCCCCTCCCCCCAGCCAGTCCGCTCCTGGTTTCCTCCTGGGCACGCAGCCTGTATCTCCCTGGGCAGCCCCCACAGGCCCTGAGCCCACAGCACCACCCCACGGGGGCCCGACCCCTGCCCAGCTGCCCTTCCCCGCTGGATCTGCGCCAAGTCTTTTCCCACCTTCAGACCTGGCGCAAGGAGGCCCCTCTGCTCACTCCTGGCTCCAGCTTAGTCCTCAGCCACCCTCACACCTCACCCTCTCTCTTCCTTTCCTTCTCCTCTCTCCTCGTTTCTTCTGAGCTCTGCTCAGGCCCTGACTCTTCCTTGGCTTCACAGCAGCCAGCGGCCAGGACCCCACACTCATGGCCAGCCTTGGGAAGCCCGGGGCTGGAGAGGCCCAGGAGGAGGAGCGGGAAGAAGAGGAGGCCTCCATGAGGCCACGGGCAGCCATGCTGGCGCAGGCCAAGGAGCTGTTTCTGCTGTGTGACAAGGAGGCCAAGGGTTTCATCACCCGGCACGACCTGCAGGTGAGTCCCCAGTCCCAAGAGGCTGCCCCAGCCCAGGGCTGACCTTGGCTACTGAGCCCTGTCTCTTGGTCTGGCCAGGGCCTGCAGAGTGACCTGCCCCTCACCCCGGAACAGCTGGAGGCTGTGTTCGAAAGTCTGGACCAGGCCCACACAGGTTTCCTCACCGCCCGAGAGTTCTGCCTTGGCCTGGGTGAGCCCCTCCTCTGCCCCTCCACCCAGTGGCCCATCTGTGTCTGTACACACTGTCACCACTGGAAGGCGCCACGGGAAGCCCCCCAGCTGCTGGGGCATGTGTGGAGCTCACCCTTTTGCTCCCCCAACCCCCTCCCATGCCAAACCCAGGTGGGGCTGGGAGCCAGCTGTCACCTCCCATTCCCAGGCCAAGAATCAAACCAGAATAAGGAAGAAAAACAGGAAACTGGGCTCGGAGAAAGGGCAGGATATGTGTGTGGGGGGGTGAGTGGAGGCTGAGCCAGGGTGGTAACCCACAGCCCTGGGAATCTCTCCCTCCCATGCCCACAGGGAAGTTTGTGGGGATGGAGTCCGCCCAGGGCGCACTGCCCTCCCCGGCTTCTGAGGAAACCTTTGAGTCGGGCTGGTCGGAGGTGCAAGGCACGGGGGTCTCCCTGGAGGAGGAGGAGGAAGAGGAGAGATTCTTCACTGCGTTGGAGCAGCTAGGGGTGGCTCGGGTCCTGGGCGAGTGAGTCCGTGCCGGCCCCTCTCCCACTTCCCTGGTCTGCTATCTCCATCTGCATGCTGCATGTTTGCTGCTGCCAGGGTCCCCAGTGCTGGCCTGGCCTACCATTTCCCTCTCAGCTGCGAGTACCTGGGAGGGGACGGCGTGATTTCCCGCAATTTGCATTTTAGAAGGCTGCAGTTAGGCTGCCGGGGGGAGGGGCGGTGCCAGGCACATGGCCCTGTACACACGCGCACAGCCCCGCATACACACATCCCTCGCTGCCACGCCAGCGGGGCACACTCACATACCCCAGGCAGGGGCGAAAGTAGCCAGGAGAGGAACGTCCTGCATGCGGCAAACACGCCTGGCTTGTTCAGGGCTACAGGGGTCACTTTGGAGAGGGTGGGGAGCCCCGGCTTTGGCCTCAGCCCCTGCCCCTGCCCCCTCTCCAGGCAGCGGGTGGTGAGGACTCTCTGGACCCGGCTGCAGCGCGAGAGGCCCGAGCTGCTGGGCTCTTTCGAGGACGTTCTGATACGTGCGTCGGCCTGCCTGCAGGAGGCGGCCAGAGAGCGGGACGGCCTGGAGCAGGCGCTGCGGCGGTGAGGGCTGGGGACCAGGGCGGGGCTCCGGAAGGAGGTAGGGGCGGGGCTGGGGGGGAAGTAGTGCTGGCAGGTTCTAAGCAGTGTCTCACTCTCGGCGCCCCGAAGGCGGGAGAGCGAGCACGAGCGGGAGATACGGTGTCTGTATGAGGAGACGGAGCAGCAGCTCCGCGAGCAACGCCGGCGCCTGCGGAGTCAGGTGGGCCCGCGGCCCCGACCCCCGCTCGGCCCAATCCCAGACCCGTGTCGCCCTGGCTCTGCTTTCTGAGAATTGGTCCCACCCCCGACCCCTGCCCCTCGGCCGCTCGCTGAGGCTCAGGTACCCCCTCATCCCCCCCCCCGCGCGTCCCAGGACCTTCCTCGAGAGGAGTGGAGAGACCACCTGGAGCTGGAGCTGCAGAGCCGCGAGCAGGAGCTGGAACGCGCGGACTTGCGGCAGCGGGAGGTGAGCGGCCCACCCTGTCGGGGAGGGGTGCAGACTTGCCCAGCTTATGTTCCCATCCCCACAGTCACCATGCACTCCCTGGTATATTTAAGGCCCCCTGTGCCTCCCTGTCCCCATCCTCGGAATTGTTGGGAGTCAAGGGCAAACCAGCACCCTGGGGCAGAGGGGATCCTCTCCAGCCTCGATTCTCCCACCACCCTCCAGTTGGAACAGCAGCTGCAGGCCCAGGCCACTGAGCAGCTAGAGGCGCAGGCGCAGAACGCCCAGCTGTGGCTGGCCAACGATGCTCTGCGGACGCAGTTGGAGGGGGCGCAGGAGCAGCTCCGAAGACTGCAGGGCGACGTGCAGGGCCGCCAGGAACAAACCCAAAGGTGGGGGTGGGGGTGG